TGAGTTAATCTGAGAGACAGTGGAGCACAAAGGCTCCGGAGAAGAAGCCGAGTTAGTGACATCCAGAATGGCAGAGTTAGCAAGATGCAGTAATAGAATACGAGAGAGAGAGAGAGAGAGAGAGAGAGAGAGAGGAGAGAAGGTGCCCGGTGTATTATAGGGGGGTCCTCCGGCAGACTAGGCCTAAGTCAGCCTAACTAGGGGCTGGTACAGGGCAAGCCTGAGCCAGCCCTAATCTATCAGCTCTATCAGCAGAGTGATCACATTAACAATGACAACACTTTCACAGTCAGCAGTTTATCTCATTTCCACTGGGTGTCCACACCTTGCAGGCTCACAAAGGCTCCGTGACAACCAATCACATCTGTTAAAAGAATTCATCACACCTTGTAACAAGGTCAACCACACCTCCTCACTAAGGTAAAAGTCTCTGTCCCTTCCTTGGTCAGAGTTGCTCTGAGAACTTTTTTTAATCACTCCTAAGTTAAGTCTCCTTACTAAACTTTTTTAGGCAAAGTTAGAAGCTCTCTGAGCGTGTTCTCATAATGTTTGTGAAAATGGCCCCTGACGTATAACTGAGCGCATTTACTCAAGTACTGCACTAAAGTACACATTCAAGGTACTGTTACTGTACTTGAATATCTTTATCTCATGCAACTTTCTACTTCTACTCCACTAAACGTCAGGGGCCGTATTCAGAAACATTCTGAGAAAACTCTCAGTGACAAACTTTAGTAAGGAGTCCTAGCTTAGGAGTGATTTAGGAAAGTTCAGAGAACACCAAGCAAGGAAGGGACAGAAACTTTTACCTTGGTGAGGAGGTGTGGTTGACCCCACTGCTAGGTGTGATGAATTCTTATTCTTCTTAAAACAGATGTGATTGGTTGTCACAGACACGCCCCTTTGTGAGCCTGCTAAGTTTTTCATCTTAGGAGCTCTTTTAAGGTTTAAGAGTCTTTAGGAATAACTCTTATCTTTATGGAGGACCTAGTCTTAACTTGAAGGGGGAATTCTAAGAAAATGACACAATTCTAAGAATGTTCATAGAATTTTGTCACTAGGAGCAACTCCCAGTACAAGGAAGCTTTGCGAAAGGGGCCGTGGCCCTGGTCAGCAAAGGGACACACAGTAACTGAATTTACAGGGATCAATGGACCAACCATAGCAGTATTTACTTCCCTACTACCCACAAATGTAATAATCCATTCATTATAACTACACAAATCATAACAATCTAAATTTGATTATATTCAGGCTTTTTTCATGTTCCTCAGATTAAAACCTGTGTTTCCTTGCGTTAGACAAACAATTTGTGGACTGTGAAAACGAGATGTTTTCCTCTTAGCTTGGTCAGAGTGCTCTGGAACTTCGTAATTGAATTGAAGAAAAGAGCAAAAATCCGAAAACATTAGTGAATCCCAGAAATCTATGGGTAGTATCGCTACCTGCATGAGGCCCAATGTGTGTGTTGTGTGTGAGTGTTTACTCACTCCGCAGTCTCTCTCCATTCTGGAGGATTACTCATCGTCATGAACACACAGTTGGTCAGAACCGTCACCAGGATGAACAAACGGAATAACGTTTTGGTTTTAAGGAAAAAGTCACTAACATGTTAAACAAACAGTGTGACTGTCAGCAGGAGCAGTGATACATAAAGAGCAGTATACCCAAACCAGACAACAGAGACATAATGAAAGGACTATAGGAGGGTCTGATGGTTTCACTAACCAATCAGGGAGGAGCTTACCTGGCAAGACTATCTTAAGCCAAACATTCTGTTTCGCTCTCTGTGTCAGTCTGGACTCGGTGACACCCCAAACACTTTGGTGCCATGTAATAATTCCGACATCCCATTATTTCGACATCCCATTATTACGAAAATTACCCATTGTTCCGAAATCTCAATGCTTCGACATCCCATTGGTCCGACCATATTAAACCCATTGTTCCGAAGTCCCGTTGTTCCGAAATCTCAATGTTGCGATGCAAAAAGTTGAAAAAGCAAGCAGCAAGGGAAAGCAGCAAGAGACCGTGTTGTCGTGTTGTTTACTGTTGCCATGACGACCACGGTCGCCCTGTTTTGAGGAAGTAGAAACGATGTTGAAAGTTATAATTTTAACCCAAACCATGATCTTTTCCTAACCTTAACCAAATAGTTCTTGTGCATAAACCTAACTAGACCTTAACCATGAAACAGTTATTTTGTAACAATGAAAAATTAGATTTCGGAACAACAGGACTTCGTAACAATGGGTTTAATATGGTCGGAACAATGGGATGTAGAAACATTGAGATTTCGGAACAATGGGTCATTTTCAGAACAATGGGATGTCGGAATAATGGGATGTCGGAATTATGAGCGGACCCCAACACTTTCCAGAAATTATAATCCAATCTGGACCAATCAGGGATCTGCACTGTAGTTGACAACGTAAGCAGCCAATCAGGGACTGCTTAGTAGCTGATGACGCAAAATGCAGGCCACTTGCTGAACAGTAATGGCAGCTCTCGACGCAACAAGCGCCCGATGCACAACATAATTTTGCCAAGTAGGACATGCCCCTGGATCAACATCCCACATCGCCTTCCGGGACCAACTTTGCAATCAACCAATCACAGCCCTCTGACATCATCAGTGTGCTGCTCCTGTGCTTCTTTTAAAATTCCTATGCACTTCTTCAGAGCTAAGCTAATTTCCACATTTAAGTTAGTACAAATGAACAAAATCCTCAGTGACATCAAACAAAAACCTGCTACTGCAGGGTTAGCAAGTTAGCTTACAAAGTAGGTTGGCTATGCTAACGAGTAAGCTTACCAGTAGGCTAAAATATTGTTTAATAACATTAAGAGTAAAGATAATGTCATTTTGCAGTTTCAAAGACCTGGACACATTTTCCCTCCTTTTTCAATGCCTATTTTAAACTATTTTTGCAAGAGTTTTTTTATAGGCTATAAAAAGGTATTTGCAACTGGAAAATTATATTCACAATCTTTGTTAGTGAACAAAGCCTATTGGCAAGCTAGTTAGCATAGCCTACCTGCTTAGAAAGCTAACTCATTAACAACGTCGTAGCTTATAAAGATTTTGTTTAAAGTTACTGAGGATTTTGTTTATTTATACTAACTTGAATTTGGAAAATTAGCTTAGCTCTGAAGAAGCACAAAGAAATTTTAAAAGAAGCATAGGAGCAGCACACTGATGATGTCAGAGGGCTGTAATTGGTTGATTGCAATGTTGGTCCAGGAATGTGATGTGGGATGTTGATCCAGGAGCATGTCCTGCTTGGCAAAATCACATTGTGCAGGAGTAAACACAGCAATAAGTGAAGTTATTGCAGAAACAATAATACAAGAACAAGAGATTGCTCCCTGGTGTTTTGTTACGCTGATTTGCTGAAGGTGTTTGTCTGTCAAGGCGAGAACTCCCGCCCACTGAAAGTGTTTGGGGTAGCAGCGGGGCCACACTGATACTGAGAGCAAAAACAGAATGTTGAGCTCGAGGCATCAGGATGGTGTTACTGGGCTAGGGAGGAGCAGAGTGTGACATCATAAAGGATATAAGTGAATGTGGATCTTGATGGCGGCGGTCCTCAGCAGGTTGAATGGACTCAACAGGTAACAGGCCGACTCAGCATTAAACCTGTGGATGATGTTTCCTTTACCGAGCACGATGAACGTCTGCAGAGAGACACACAGGTGTCAGAGTGACTCCTGTCTCTTACGGGCAGTGAGGAGTACATTTCGTCAAAAATATACTTTGTAGGATTAAAAAATAAACAAAATACAAATGTATAGACTCATCCAGCAGTAACCACAATTATAGAGAAGCGAAACATCAAATGGACAAAGCTGGGGTTGACTTTCACTTTCACTGGTGAAACTGTTTGCAAACAGAACAGTCTATCTTTAACTGTGATGTTGTGTCTGTGACCCCGACCCTCTGCAACAGCTCACAAACCTTCTGAAAATTGCCTTATCAGGTTTTCATACTTTAATGAGAATATCTTATAAACCTGGTTTTAAAGTGATGACATGTTTCAGAAGTCTGTTTTGAATGAAAGAAAGAGACCTTCTTTGACTGGTAGTAGGGATCCAGCTCCTCCAGTGGGGTGTTCAGAAGCTCAGGGGGCGGGTCCCCATAGAAGAATGGGAGTTGCTTCCCTGCCTTCAGGTCACTGGCTGGTTTGGGCAGGTCACTCTTTGCCACCTGTCAACGACAGAGAGAGACAAACAGAGAGGAGGATCTGGCTTTTGTGTAAACCGTGTATGTGTCATGTGCAGACAGGTATAATGGCCCATACACACCAAACCGTCATGGAAGAACTAACAGTGACAACTGCAGACTGTTGTGCCGTTTCACATTGCCTGTGTCTCCCAAAAACCTGCATATGAACACACTGCACAGAGCAGTTGAGTTTGAACGATGCTGCGCTTTAGCCAATCACAATGAAGGGGGCAGGGCAGAGACGTGCAGGTGTCCCCAGGAAATGTGTACCTACAGAAACAGCAAGCTCCGCGTCCATGGCGACCGCTCCACCCAAAAGGCCATCAACGTGAAAAAAATATTTTTTCTGGCGGATGTCTTAGTTACAACATTATTGAGCTAACTGGAGTAGTTTCATGTCGTAACCGACAACGGGAGGCTTTTAACAGATGACGTCCTGATGTTAGCTTTGCTAACTGTTCCTGTCAGCTGCAGCCACTGATGCTTTCTAGACATTGTGATTTCCCACAACTGAATAAATACCACACATAGCAACACAAAACTGATTGCTAGCTCAATAATGTTGTAACTAAGATATCCGCTGGAAAAATATTTTTTTCACGGACCGTTTATTGAGTTACTGAGTTATTACAGACACCGCTAATGGGGCTAACAGCTAACAGTTAGCCCAGCTAATCTACGATAACCATGTTATTAATTACAAAACGTGCACACAGAAATAGTAATGTTTGTTCAGTCATTGTGTTTATAGACTTAACAAACATCAGATTAGTCTAAACGGTGATATAATGATGTGAAAAATGTGA